CTAAACAGGAAACGGGAGATAAAGTTCTACTCCAGTTCCGGGGTGCAGTTTGAACCAGACAGAATTATGGAGTTCTAGTAGGTTTTAACGGGAACCGGAAACCGAATTCTAAACAGGAAACAAGACATAAACCGCTAGACCCGTTCAAAGGACCCGGGTGGGGAATGAACCAAACGATAGGCAAACCTATCTACTGCTATTGAGAAAAAAATAGTAAATAAAATTTTACGGTTTATGCGGAGACGCTAGATGCATAGAGCCGATATAGACTTGAGAAAGAACCGGGAAACGAATACTAAACAGGAAATATCTGATCCATCTCAAAAAGGGAGGCGGTAGGCCATCCACTCCTATTGAGAAAAGGCCAGGAGGTGAACCGGGCGATAGGCGAACCTATCTACTCCTATTGAGAAAAAAATAGTAAACGAATAAAAAAAAATTTTAGGGTTTATGCGGAGACACTATAGATGCATAAAATTTTAGGGTTTAGAGCCGATATAGACTTGAGAAAGAACCGGGAAACGAATACTAAACAGGAAATATCTGATCCATCTCAAAAAGACCAAGGAGGTGTGTGAACCAGGCGATAGGCGAACCTATCTACTCCTATTGAGAAAAAAAATAGTAAATAAAATTTTAGGGTTTATGCGGAGACGCTAGATGCATAGAGCCGATATAGACTTGAGAAAGAACCGGGAAACGAATACGAAACAGGAAATATCTGATCCATCTCAAAAAGGCCAAGGAGGTGTGTGAACCGGGCGATAGGCGAACCTATCTACTCCTATTGAGAAAAAAAATAGTAAATAAAATTTTAGGGTTTATGCGGAGACGCTAGATGCATAGAGCCGATATAGACTTGAGAAAGAACCGGGAAACGAATACTAAACAGGAAATATCTGATCCATCTCAAAAAGGCCAAGGAGGTGTGTGAACCGGGCGATAGGCGAACCTAACTACTCTTCTTGAACGAAAAGAGCAACAAACATTACTGAGTATCTACAACTCTGAGTCGGATGTTCAATATCATATTCGAAAATTGCAAAATGGAATAAAAATCTAGCAGACAGACCTTTACGGCTGAATTTAATCAATATTGTTTAAACATATACGCGCTTGGTTTGTTTCATAAAATATTTTCCATATATTAACATATAAGATTTATCGAAATACGTACTGGGTTACTTACCTATGCTCTCTGCTCAAATATCATAAATCAATTAAGGAAGTCCGGGGTTTGTATGTATGTGTCGCTTTTTCAAACAATGATCTAATTAACAATGCCATATTTTTTGTTTCCGCAAATCAAATAGATTTCATTGTTCTCTCGTATCAACAGAAAAGAATTTGTTCAGAGATTGAATTGTCTGAGAAAAATAATAGAACAATAAGTTCTTAATTCTATCCTATTGTGTCGAGGTGTGCCGAGGTTTATAATATAACTCCGTCTTCGCCGGTTGAATAATAGAAATAAAGTATCGGCAATAATTTTCTGCTTTGTGTGTACGTAAGAGCGTTTTCCTTTCTAGCTAACATTATAGTGTAATATTTGCTTGACCCTCGTCTCTTCAGATCTGCAATAATTTGCCCTTTCTGACCAGGACTCTATGTAATACTTCTGCTTGGTTAATATATAACAATTATGGCTTTCTACCGAAGATCAGTGTCCAGTATTTGTTTGATCCTTAGCCCTTCCTCGCTAGGATCAGTCTCTAATATTTTCTCAAGCGTAGACTCTACAGATCTGCAATAAGTTACACTTTCTGATCAAGACTGTGTTATACCTCTGCTTGGTTTAAGCGTAATAGTTTTGGATTTTTAGAGAGGATCAGTGTCCAGTATTTGCCTGATCATCATTCCTTCCACGATAGGAGCAATTACGTGAGATTCTATGCACGCCTGAAGACATTTCTCACTTAACGACCGGGTTCCGTTCCAACAAACTGTTCGTTAGGTGATAAATTGTACCTGATCCCTATATCAGGCACGCTTCGCATGCAATGGGCTTATGTCCACTAGCTTTGGTAACGGTAATGTAAATAATAGTCGTTTCCCTACAAAGAAAGTTTTGGTATTTATTGACCTAGCAGCTAGTACTGACTTCGTTTGAAATTTATAAAATCTTTTTCTTAAAAACAGTTTTTAAAGAAACCGTTTTCTCAAGGCAGCAGCTGTTATCGCTTTTTCCAGTATTGACGGAGGTTTCCTTCCTAACTTTTTATTTGATGTCATGCGGAATGACAACATCTTGATTATAATATTATTATCTATTTCATTACACGGGCTGTCCATATTGTTACTGCTTTTTATAGTCCTCAAGTGATGTGGTTTCTGTTATTTTGGCACTGTTCTTTGTTTGTTGTTCTGTAGCGCCAGTCCACAATATTCAAAGATGATTTTTTTAAAAATATTTAGACATTTCAATAAATTAGTTACCTCCCTTGACGTTTACAACATAAAATTCGAAAATCGTACAATACATAGCCTTAGCGGTTTTCTTATCATAGGTTCCCAAGTTAGGCATCTATGCGGACGACAATATTATTTAATCCTGCCTCAAAAACAAAATCTAGTGTCGCTGACAAAACTAACCTGGCCGTCTGTATTGAAAAGGACCTCCAATCGGTTGTGAACAGGGGCAGGAATTGGCTGGTTAACTTGAATGCCTCAAAAACAAAACTGCTCTCTATTACTCACTAGAGAGAACCATCCTTGCCTCCCAATAGAATGTCTGACGCTCAACTCCACGAGAGCACCTCTTTGCGACTGCTCGGTCTCACATTGTCTGCTGACCTGAGATGGAACAAATAGATTGAGTCAATAGCTTCGTCCATCGCAAAGAAATTTGGCTCCCTGTGCCACGCCAGGATATTTTTCAGGCCGGAGTCGATCCTTCAAATCTACAAATCAACCATTCGCCCTTGCATGGAGTATTGCGGCCATATATGGTCTGGAGCCCCTTCTGTTTGCCTCAAGGTCCTTGATAAAATCTAGAGAAGGATATGCAATGTAATTGGCCCTGATCTGGCATCTCGTCGGCAGCCGCTGTCTCATAGACGTGCTATTGCTTCCTTCTGTCTTTTTTACAAATACTTTCACAATAACTTCGATGAGCTGCTTTCGCTGGTTCCCAGACTTCATGAATTTATGCTTTCAACTAGGCTGGCATCTCGATTTCACACTTTCACTGTCGAAACTGTTAAATGTAGCCATCTCTTCTACTCCAATAGCTTCATGTCTCGCACCTCTCGCCTGTGGAACTACCTGCCCTTTTCCTGTTTCCCTGATAGCTATAATCTCCAACTATTCAAATGTAATGTCAATCGACGTCTCCAGATGCCCTGATCTATCCCCTATCCTTCTCCTCATCGTTTCCTCTATCACTCCTCTTTGCTCTCGCTCCAACTTGCGTGCTAGTGGCTTCCCGCCTTGCTTGAGGTGAAAGGCTTAAAAAAAAACTTCACAAGTAAAAATTTAATTTTCAGACGAATACAAACATTTTGTCTTAGAAAAATAATGAACACAACCATTTTTTAGAAAAAACAAAACCCTGTTGATGGCATTGTGCTAATGTCCAACGTACCCAGAATAAAATCACTATCCATAAACATGATAATTTTCTTTCTTCCTTTAATAAGGATACTAAGAAATTTGTCCGTTATTAAAGAGGATCCTATTAAAAAAATGTAGACAAAACTTATCTAAATTACTTAGTGAGACATGCCTTCATATATATATATATATATTAGGTTGGTACAAAAATAATGACATAATAATGTCGTTTTTGACGTTAAATAATACGTCAAAAAAACGACATTATTACGTCATTATTTTTTCAACCAATATATATATATATATATATATATATATATATATATATATATATATATATATATATTATAAATTAATTGATTTAAAATATGGTTTTTTTTCGCGACACAGTTCCAACCATGTTTCAAAATAGAAACTAAAAACCCCGAATTTAATTTTGCAATTAAATTAAAAGCATTAGTTTCATTTCATCTTCAAGCGAATTTTGGAGTAACTTTTAAAAAATTACCGGGTTTTAAAGACACAGCTAAAATCACATTTCCATGGTTACAGAATATTCTACTTAAATTGAACAAGGGATGTCTAGATTTCCTTATGTCAGTATCATTGTATCAGTTATTAGCTACAATTTGGAAGGGGTAGGGATGTATTTTACAATGAAACCTGACATCAGTTGAAATGGATGTCGTCTGAATGTTTTTTTAAAAGAAATTGTTAACGGTAAAAAAATTTCAACGTCACTTTTTAAATTTAAAGATTTTCGGGTTTTTTTTTTTTTTTTAATACTTTTTATTTAACTACGATTTGAAATATTCTCCTTTTTAATTTTTATTTTACTATATTCTTTTTAAGAATAGTTAAATGTATTAGAATCCATTATATTATGTTGGATTATTTTAACATCAAGTTTAAGTATGTATATGAGGATACATTTTTTTTTTTTTTTTTTTTAAATTAAGACTATGACGGCAAAAATGGTTACTTAATTTCACTGATTTAGTAAACTTTTATTTTATATATAAACCTAGTATTATAATGTTTCTCATGTAAGTACTAAGGACATGGGTCATTCAAAAGCTTACATCTTATGGCATTTCATATTAATTTTATTTTACTATAGGTGTTTTTTTTTTGTTTTTTTTTCGTGTAGTATTATTTAAAAGAAATTTAGGTTAGAATTCATTAAATTTAACAACAATTTTAATTTTAATTACAATTTCAGAATTACAACTTTAATATATATATATCGCAATGGACGAATGCTCAGACATGTGGAGTGAAGCGTTCTTATTAGTTTATTTGTCGTATACCTAACATATATATTTGGCTTTATTTGTAAGGGATACATTCTCCCAAGGGACATTTAAATAAGTACACAATGTCGGTTAAACTCAATAACTCCTCCCCACTAACCAATGTATTACAGAAAACCAACATTGTGTACCAATTTAAATGTCTCTTGGGAGAATGTAAGCTAGATAGATAGATAGATAGATAGATAGATAGATAGATAGATAGATAGATAGATAGATAATTATGAATAGGGTCAGATAGATAGATAGATAGATAGATAGATAGATAGATAGATAGATAGATAGATAGATAGATATGAAATTATTAAGACAGAGGTAGATAGATATCAGGCGAGATATGTGTTGATAGAGAGATAGATATGAACAAGCTGAGATAGTGTTATGGGATCTTACCCATAATAATAATAATGGACTATTCCATACTTAATAAATACTGCGCCTGAGGAGTAGGCAACGAGTGAGTAGTTCAAGTCGAGTCAAGAGTCGAGTCAAGAGTCGAGTCAGAGGCAGTCCGAAACAGAGTCGCGTTATTACTGCAAGACATTGGAATAGTGATACTGGTCGAGACTACATTGTTCTCTCTACTAAACCTGATTGTTCATCCTAACACTTCTACTTCTCTGTATATATTCCTGTTGTTATTCCATACCTGTGTTCGAGTTCTTCTTTCTTGGTTCTACCTTGGACTATCACCGTGGTACAAGGAACCGGGCCATAACAGATAGATAGATAGATAGATAGATAGATAGATAGATAGATAGATAGATTCTAGCATAAAAAGAGTTTGGGCATATTCAAAGAATATAGTTCCCACTGAAAGAATTCTACAAACCCTCTCCGACCCTAATTGTTGCAAACTAGCCCAAAATTACCAGATTTTTTCAGGAATATAACACGCGGAAAAACAAATTACCAGTAAAGAAAGTTCCGCTTTAATTTTTTAACGTTTTTATTTCTCGTCTCGTTGAGAAGGGACACAGTCGAGTCCGAAAATTCCGATTTTTAACATCTTTCTCATCCTGCTTCCATTTCTTCAAAAGGTTCACTAATATGGAATAAATATTATTATCCTTATTATCAATATTCTTATTTTTGTTGTTTTTATCTCATGGATTTCTTTCATCAGCCTATAATTATTGAATATATATACACACATATATATATATATATATATATATATATATATGTATATATATATATATATATTATTGTTGTTGTTGTGTTGTGTGTGTGTGTGTGTGTGTGTGTGTGTGTGTGTGGTGGATAATGAGATCAACGCAAGGCATAATAATATAGAATAGATATTATTTAGACTTATTATCAATATTAATATTTTTGTCGTTTCTTTATCCCACAAATTTCTTTCAACGGCCTATTATATATATATATATATATATATATATATATAATTAAATAATTTGTCGAGTCTGAAAGAAACCTCAACAGAATGCAGAAAGCACTGGACGGACGTTTCGTCTTATATTTGGGACTCATCAGCAGTGCGCATCCACTACGAAGAATTTCTGCATTCTGTTGAGGTTTCTTTCAGACTCGATGAATTACTTAATTATAATTATCAAATCCTCCTAATAATTTCTATCATGGTCGATTTCTCAGGAAGGTGTCTTCTTGATGTCTCCGATGTGAAGGAGACGATCCCAACAGACACATGTATGAATATATAAAAATTATTCCTTCTCTTTTGTAACTTTTTTTTTTTTTTTTTTTTTTTGTTTTTTTTACGAGGAATTATCATTACTAAACAAATTTCCATATAACGAACATTTTTCTTAATAATAATTTAAAAATAATTCAGTTGTGGATGGGTTTTTTTTTTTATTTATAGTATCTTTTTTTGTTTATTTTTGCTCTTCATTTTTTTTTTTTATTAGCAATTGCTTTACTCGGTTTCCATACTATGCCTTTGAAAAATGCTGCTATTATTGCGGCCACCATAACATCTCTGGCTGGGATCAAAGTGTAGTATCTGCCCTGACAGATAAACTCCATTTCATCTCTCAGTTGGAGTAGAGCGCTACAGAAAATATTTTTGTAGGAGGTGGGGTATCAGATCTGGGGCAACAGCTGCCTATAGCAGTACCTCCCTCACTGCCCTAAACAGCATGGATCGATTGTTATATTAAACATTAAACTAACCTTGTGTTACATCTTGCCAGCATACAATCGTTTCTTTTGGCTAAGATCAAAGTGTAGTATCTGTTCCTGTGAACTTAATCTGAATCTCTCTCTCTCTCTCTCTCTCTCTCTCTCTCTCTCTCTCTCTCCACTTGTATTTCCTCTATTTCTTTCTTTCATTCATTCATTTTCTCACTGAAAACAAGTAGTGTCTTTCCACGCGATCAAAACGAAATAGTCCATTATTTATGAAGCATTGGCAGGGAGTAATAGTCGTGCGAACTAACAAAGGGAGAGACAAGTACAATTTTAATAGGAGCATATTTGATGATTCGTACTTTCCTATTCAGGCCAGTACACTTATCTTTGTCGTTATATTCACAACATTTCGGTAGGCGAATACTTCGGCCTTCACCAGGTTTCTTTTGTTGTATACGGTAATCTAAGCATAGAATTATATAATCTCCCCCAGCTATGGGTTAATTAGTTAGTCTTGTATGACTAAACCATTATTATCTCCAAATATAAAATTCTTACAATCTAAAAATATTTTCTGGCTTTGAATAACCTGCAAATATTTGATAAGCCGTAGAAAGCAAATCATTTAACGTTTCTGTACCTTGAGGGTGAAATTGGTGTTAAATTTATAGTGAGTCAATCTATGAGAAATGGCCGTTGTAAAAACTGCATGGGCTCTTTCTGATTGGTCATAGATGTTGTATGGCCCTGCTATTTAGGACGGTATTCCGGAAGTGGGTACGCGAAACCGGACGAAATTAAGATCCGCTTGAGCACTTCCGTTTAAGACAAAAAAATTGTAATGTCGATGCATTCTAAAGAGAATCGACTGCGGAATCGACTTTTTTTAAAACAACCATTATCTGCTCATGTACAATTTATATGGACATCTAAATATACAGAAAAATACTGTTAGTCATATATTTATCCTATAAAATTAACTTACTATGAAACTATCGATATATATATATATAGATAGATAGATAGATAGATAGATAGATAGATAGATAGATACGAGCAGACTGAGATAGATAGATAGATAGATAGATAGATAGATAGATAGATAGATAGATAGATAGATAGATAAAAGCAGACTGAGAAAAAAGAATGAAAGAAAATAATTAGAGATACATAAACATGAACAGGTTTAGATAGATAGATAGATAGATAGATAGATAGATAGATTTGTAGAAACTTAAATATGAGCAAAATGGAACAGATATCTTCTTAATCTCTCTCCTTTTATTTTTTTCTCTCTCTTTAATAATGTGATTTTTTTTCTTTTTCTCTCATTATCTTTCCCTTCCAATAACCCCTTGCATCTTAGTGGCGTTATTGCTTTGCTTGGGGTGAAATGATTCAAATAAAAATCAAACAAGCTATAATACTTTGTTAAAATATCACTCACAACAACCGTAAAAACCTTTTTATTAACAATGTCTGGGACTTATTCCCCATTTACGTTTATTTTAATTTTATTTATTTAGTAACTTACAATGGTAAAAGTTCGTAAGTCACGTGTTACGTTATTACTTTCCTTAGTATTGTGCATTCATTTTAATGCCGGCAAGCGGCTTGTTGGTCGCAACACAAAATGCGAGTCAAACATCCTGCGGGACTTGAAGAAACACTTCAGTCGTCTAATGCATATTTTATTATAAAGATTAAAGATTTCCTACGTGTCTCATATGAACCAGATGAAAATCCCGGGCCAGTCAAATGACAACAGAAACATTAAAAGTTTCGCTTTGACTAGAACAACTTTATATTTTTTTCGTTGTTGTTTTTTATATATTTTTTTTGTTTTCTTTTCTTTTTTGTATTTGTTTTTGTTCGTTCTATTTTCTTGCAACAATATCATCATCAGTTCTCTTATATAAGGCATGATTATATATTTATTTGCCACCCAAAAAAAACTAGCTTCTTCTTCTGATAATATAAATACATTGCTCAACGCCACTATCTAATTAGTAACTAGGGAAGATCAGGCTGTTACTACATTAATTTATTTCTATCGCTTGATGTTAGTTCTATAGAATTGTTATATATATATTTAATATTAATCTATATATTTAATAATAATCTATCGATCTTTCTTTTTATGTGCCATGTCCTTTCATGATGTAGGCGATCATGGCTCTCAACCTCCCTCTATCACTTGCAGCTCTCAGCAATTTCCTTCCCTCTGCTTCCTCCCCCAGACCACGTCCTGTCATCCACTTGCTCAAGCTCGTCAGGTATGTCACGCGTTATTTTCCCTTGACTCTCTTTCCCTCTATTTGACCCGTGAGTATCAGATTCTCCAGGCCATCCTTCCTCATTATGTGTCCCAGAAACTTCAGCTGCCTCTTTCTGATGTTAAGTATAAGCCTCCTCCTCGTTTGCAACCTCTCTAAGACCCCCATCGTTGCTCACGTGCTCGGCCCATGATATCCTTAGCATCCTTCTGTAGAACCTCTTTCTAATATGTTAATAAAGATAATATATAAATCTCCAACCAAACCTCAGTTATCTTCTCAAGTTCTTTCCTTTCTTTCTATGTGCCGTGTCCTTACAGGACGTAGGCGATCGTAGCTCTCCACCTCCCTCTATCCCTTGCAGCACTCAGCAAGTTCCTTCCCTCTGTTTCATCCCCCAGATCACGTTCTGTCATCCATCTGCTCAAGCTCGTATGTCACGTGTTGCTTTCCCTTGTCTCTCTTTCCTTCTATTTGACCCGTGAGTATCAGATTCTCCAGGCCCTCATTCCTCATTATGTGTCCCAGAAAGTTCAGTTCCCTCTTTCTAATGTTAAGTATAAGGGACCTCCCTTTTTCGCAACCTCTCTAAGACCCTAGAGTTCCTCATATGCTCACATGGCTAACAACTCCAATTATCTATCGATAGATTAATTACAAAGCACAGAGGATGCGAAACCTTCCACGTTCCGATGGTTGTCCCCTGCGAAGGTAACTTGACGGTGTCTGTCGCTCCAGTCGTCCACTTGTCACGCCTATCCAGGAGTGAGTGAGCAAGACGAGCGCCCGGTGTTGATCCATCCCATGTTGGTTTGATTGTTCTTTCTCAAGATCCTTTCAGATAGCTTGGAGACGCCCATCTCCTCTCCAAGAATTATATTTAATCTATGCGTTTTGTAGTATGTATAATAGTACACCCGACACTTCATCAAACAAAACACAGATAACTGTTTTAGTAATAAAAACCATTCGACGCTGTGTAGGAGTATTTGAAAGGGTCCACCAGTCAATGATCCGACGGGTGTCTGCGTGTGTAGAAGCAAGCGGAGGACATTTTGAACATTTGTTATGAGTTGCTGTGCTGAGGTCAAACGAAGGCCTTTTGGAATTATGTTTATATCGGTTTCTTGTTTTGATGTCAAGAACTCATCCCAGAGTTTTTAAAAGCATTTTTGGATTGTGTCTTGGATTATACATTTAAGCGTAAACTTTTAACTTAATAATTCAAAGACGAAGGATTTACGGATATATGTTCATATGGACTTTTTCTGCTCTGGTTCTTGTAATGGTAGAGGATAGGATGTGGAGTTAAGTACTTACTGAAACGGAACAGATAGCCTACCATTTTACCTGAATCTTCTGCGATGGATCATATATATGAGTTTCACTTGAGATCAGGTGTGAGTTTAACGTCCAATTGTCTCTCAACTCACGGAATCTCACCGAAGAGACACCCACTCATTGTGACAGACGGTAGTTTGGGATCAGATCGGCGATTATGGAATGCAACTACTTTGGGTTTTGAAGCATTGAATGTAGTCAGCTAATTTTTTCACCACTGGGAATTTAGTGCTAGATCCGATGAGAGATCAGCTGCCAATCTTTGATCCCCGAGAAATTACCCCAAGGCAACTACCTTCAGCGAACTATGCGTTAGGAAGGACTTTATAACTGGAAAGATTCTTCCAGTTGATTCTATAGCTGAAGAGCATGAGCAACAAACCTTTGTCCCACACCTTCTCAAAGGCCTTCGAAATATCTAATGGCCCTCGTGGTGTGTTTGTTGTTTGCACATCAGCAGTGGTTCGGACCTCTAGAAAGCCGTACTGCTCGTCACTCAAAAGGTTGTTCTTATCTAAGTGCTCAACGACCTACTTGTTGATTATAGCTCAAAAGGTTTAATTATGATACTGAGGAAACTGATGGATTTATACTGGGAGGGGAAAGATCTCTCGCCCGCGTTCCTTGAAGACTGGGCATACACTGAATAATTTAGCCAGGCCTGGAATGGATCTCTCCTTCAAGCAGCGGCTAAATAACTATATATATATATATATATATATATATATATATATATATATATATATATATATATATATATATAGTACACGTAATAAATCCGGTGATATATAATCCTAGGGGATAATAGTAATATCGAATATTAAAATTGATCCACAAAACAGTCTATTCACCGAGATTGAATATGACCAACAACGTATTTCACATTGGCTGAAATCAATCTATCCCCAAATGAGGTAATTTAGCATTTTGTTGTGTAATATATATATATATATATATATATATGTATATATATGAAAAATTTCTCAGTTAAACTGTAGAAAATATTTATAAATGTTAAAGACTACAGGAAAACTGTAATAGTTGCCGATGCGTTTCGTCCAATATGGACATTTTTTCATTTTTTTTTTCCACATCGGACGAAACGCGTCGGCAAATATTACAGTCTATAATAGACAGTCTATTGTCTTTATAATATTATATATCTATATATATATATATATATATTATATATCTATATATATATATATATATATATATATATCTATATATATATATATATATATATATATGTCTATTGTCTTTATAATATATATATATATATATATATATATATATTTATAAATGTAAAAGACAATAAGAAAACTTTATAATAGGAAAACTGTAATATATAAAACTATAATATATATATATATATATATATATATATATATATATATATATATATATAAATGTCGGAGCCGTGGGTGTCTGTTGGTTTTTAAAATCACTCCCACCCAATTTGATATTTGTTTTTCTTTTCATTCTCTATTAGCGCTTAAACGTATAACTCATTGACCTATTATTGTCTTACTGATGATCGGTGAAATTACGTGTCATCTTAAATGGGGTCTGTGAGATTAACGCAATTTCAATGCATTTTCCGCTTTTTTTTCTGATCAGACTGGCATTATTTTACTATATTTAATATACATTTTTTTAATCAGTATTATATTTATTTTTTTTATCTATATTATATTTGATCTTAATCTATATTCTTTATTATGTAGATTTATACTTAATCTTAATGTTTAAACGAACAAAATTTTATATTAAACGCGACAAGAGACTTAACTGTATCGATAAAGATGCAAGATTACCCTAACAAAAACTCAGAACAATGCTCTTGCAATATTGGAACAATAGATCATAGCGCTTTACCAGACATGTCGTTTAAGCACGTGATTTTGTTTCACATGTAAATTGAATTTATATATGCATATGCTGAAAGGTAACCTTTTGTACGCGTTTTTCTCTATGATTTGTGTTGTCTGAATTTTGAATATTAACTCTGTTTTCGCAAAATTTTTTGAATGTTAAAATTTTTTGCGTTAAAATTAAAAATGATAAAAAAAAATCAGATGCATTTGTTACTCTTTTATTTTCCGAAAACGAAAAGCCGCAGTACAAACAACAAAAAAAGTATGTGCCGTTTATAGAGAAGGTGCAATAGCTGTGTGTAATATTCGTAAGTGTTAAACAGAACTGGAAGATCGACAAGGCCTGTGGTTCTTCTTATGACCAAATCGAAACACTGATAAATAATCCTGGTCATACGGTAATAGTAATTTTAAGGATAATATTAGCTGTTTTTTTTTTATAAGAAAATATTCGACATTCATTGAGCGAACAGTCAATACTGCTTTTGGTCGAAATTTATCAAAACTTCGTCTTAAAACAATTTTTCAGAGAAAATAGTTTTGAGAAATACAGTAGCTCTTTCCAGTATTGATGGGGGGGGGTTCCTTCCTAACATTTTATTTGAAGTTGTTTGGAATGTTAACATCAGGATTATATCATTATTTTTCTTTGAGTTACATGATGCTCTACCTATATATATATATATATATATATATATATATATATATATATATATATATATATATAAACGCAACTAACGCATATTCATTCTTATTAACAAGGCGTTTACCAGAGGAGGACTGACATTGAAAATAAATTTAAAACAATGCTCCGAGACACACACTAAGAGGCTGGCCATAACCGCGTACAGAACGGCTTGAAATCGAATAGAATATACTATGTTGAGGTATTTTTTTTGCTGTAAATTATATATATATATATATATATATATATATATATATATATATTCCTAGCTAGACGAATTACTTTACACCTACCCGACAATAGTTCCATTAAGACTCATTTAAGCACGCACAAAAACATACCAGTAAAAATGCAAGTATAATAACCTCATCGGCATTAAAAAGATTAAAAATGTCGTAAGCTCTAATAAGAAAGAAAGAAAATCTTCAATAACATTAACTTTGAACACGGTCACTGTGTACTGACCATGTTTGGAAAATAAAACATTTAAATAACTTTGGACACATACATTAAAAAACCACATATTAAGTTAACAATTTTAAAATATCAAAATCGCCCTTTATACTGGCTAAAAATTAGCTGAAAGCGCTAGGATATGCAGAATTTTTCTACAGTTTTTAGACATTTTGTGTCAAGAAATGAAAACACTTAAATGAACACAAGAAAAATTAAATAAAAAGCTCAGTCGCCGTACCTTGCGAGAGAGAGAGAGAGAGAGAGAAAGAGAGAGAGAGAGAGAGAATTGATACAAGTATAAAGTTGTATCCCGACTCTAGAGTTTTGTTGACGAACACTCCAGTAATCACTTCGTCCACTCGTCAGGGGTTATCAGCAATTGAGTGTTTATACTTCTAGATTTTTCTTTTATATATGCGCTTTTCATTGGGGGAAATGTTGATCTTTATCACAGCGTATGTCTGCGTGCGTATATGCACGCCCACGCGCCCGTTTGCGTTCACGTGAGCGCATATAGAATGTCGCGGTTATTTCTCCTTATTCGTGATTTTTTTTTTAAATTATATATTTATATGTGCGTGTGCCCGCGCGCGTGTGTGTGTGTGTATGTGTGTGTGTGTATGTGTGTGTGTGCATGTCTGTTTGTATGAATAGTAAAATAAAGAAAAGTAAAATGCGATAAAAAAAAGTAATATCAACCGTAAGAATAATTAAAAGAAATGAAAAAGAGAAAGAGAAGAAAGAGATATAATAAAAAAAAAAGAAAGAAAGGAAAAAAGACGGTGGTAACCAAAATTGAATTTTCATCGCCTGTTCGTAATTTTTGCCAGAGGTCGATTTCGCATTTCGTATTTAAATTCGTTTAATTCACTCCGCTTTTTTATTGCAACCCAAACACCAGCGTCTCATTGAGTCGGCTGCTTAAGTCTCCCTGCTATTAACTCGCAACACCGTTCTTTTTCTTTGTGTTTACAAACTTCACGCTCAATAATTACGCCCCTTTTTTTCCCCTTCATTCTTTTCTTTTCTTTTTTCTATCAGTCGCCGATTAATATCGAAGCCAATCAATGAAAGCTAAACTGCCGCTTTTACAATTGTCCCAGACTGCCGATCGAAGCGTCTCACTTTACAATTGACCCCCTCCCCCTACCTTTTGCAGATCAATGTCACAATTGCATAGGATGTGCTTTGATAACAAAAGGCTGTGGTCTTACCAAACGGCTATCGTTGCTGAGTTGGGGGCTATATTACGTTCATTTTACTTCTAAGCTTATCTGTTCTGGGGGAGTTTATTTAAATATTTCTGCATTTGCTATAGGTCTAGAAACGCCTCATTTGTGAAGACATCGCTGCGTCATAATCACCAACAAACAAGCTTAACACATCGGCCAAATTAGACCTTCCTGTCCGGAAAAGGGTGTAGTTTTCTGGTGCTTTTTTTTTTTTTTTTTGTCAAATTTGATGCAGACTATTTCACTTGTCAGTTTTATTTCATCAAATATCAAAATGGCTGTTTTCCCATGAGACCGCTATTATTTTAACTACCTTCACTCCCCCGGCAATGTTTTATTGTTTTAAAAGGCGATGATTAGATTTTTTAATAAAGCCTAAACATATGAATGTAAATTTATAAATTTTCTTTGATTTTTAGAATCAACAGCAAAAATAATAAACGCTATTTACTGACATTATAGCTTCTGGATTATTTTAATAACTTTTCCAAATATGTCAAGATTAACAGCCATTGCAACAGTTCTTTGTGATGTAATTTTGCACAATCTATAAAACATAGGTTTTTACAAACGTGTTTTCTCTCGCTTGCAATTTATAACAATTATATATATATATATATATATATATATATATATATATATATATATATATATGAACATAATTCTTTTGGCTCTTTTTGTGCAGACACTACCCACATATCCTATATATAACTATTCGTGGATGCGCAATGTTCTAATGAAATGGGTAAGGGCTCAAAACGAGAAATTAGAGAGCCGAGTTCGAATTCCAGTCGGGTTTGTTATATCCACTTACTAGCAATTACCCTTGGGGAATGTATGATTCAATTTCTAGCTATAGGTAAATAGAAGAGTATGTTATAGCCTTGGCTGGCAACCTGTCTAGGAGAAGGAACATTCTGAATTCAAATTCATCCTAGAGAGGATTGGTCCCCGTCAGGCTATCTTACCCAAGACACACAACTGCGGCTACGGCTGTGGTACACTTAATGTTCCTACTACCGTAAGCGGTTGCAGGACTCAATGATCCTTATTTTATATAGCTATCAGATAATTAATTATATAGGATTACGGCCGCATCACGGTGGAACACCAGTTCCCGTACAATCACCGAAGTTAAACAAAGCCGATCCTGGTCAATATCTAGATGGGTGATCACTTGGGAATATCTAGATGAGTTGGGATGTGCGGGTGGTGTAATGGATAATAGCACTAAATTTTTAATCGGAGAGCCGAGTTCGAATTCCAGTCGGGTTTGTTAAATTCACTGATGCGCAAATACTATTAAGAAAGAAATGAATCAACCTCTTCTCTCCAGGCTATGGGTTAATGAGTAAGATTTTAATCTTTAAATCTTTAGTATCTCCAAACACTTCTTACAATCTAAAAATATTTTCTGGCTTTAAATAACTTGCGAATGCTTGATAAGCCGTAGAAATCGAATTAAAATATTTTTTGCCCCAAGCAAGTCGGTAAAGACACAAGGAGTGGACGAATTAGGAACAGAAACGGTAAGAATTATTTGCAAGAGAAAAGAGTAATCAGGAAGACTGTAGATAGCGATTGACATTGTGTTTAAATTTTTGCAGATTAAAGGTGGCTTGAAAGCATAGAAGCGGAAGGGGGTTCCATAAGCGAGATGTGCGAGGAATGAAGCTGTTAGCATATCACTTACGGCTACATCTAGCCAGCACAACTGTAAATTGATGAGATCTCTACGACAGTTTAGTACTACGCTTAAATTAAAAATGTTTAGTTACCATAACGAAGATCTCATCCACAACAATTAATATTATGTGAGTATTTCATAACATAAATAATTAAAAAATATAATTTATGAAAACGTTTTCAAAATATTAACATAAAGGTTTAGTATAAAACTTGAAAAAAATATGTTTTTTTTTTAATGTATGTAAAATTTCTATTTAGCAATAGAAAGCCTTAACTACAAAGATCTGTTCGATAAAAGTCGTCCCACATAATTTTAGAATGTATTCAGAAAGTGAATGAATTTAATCTTAAAAAAAATAATAGCCATTATCCCATTTAATATATCTGCTCAAAAACGAATCGCGAATTTTTCAAGAAGCGAAAAGTAAGCAAGATCTAAAATTAATGTTATTTAATTAAAACATTTACCTTCCTTCTGGTTTGGTTTGGTTTGGTTTGGTTTGTTTAACGGCATATCAACACCTCAATGGGTTATTTAATGCCAACAACATTTTTAGGATAGATTCGTATGAATAGAATATGTATTCTTGAGATTGGTTTGGTATAATTTGTGTTACGGCATATCAACCTCAATGGGTTATTTAATGCCGACGAATTTTTTTATTGCTGGTAATATTTTGTTTTGTCAAAAAAATCTGTTCCTGGTAATATTTTTCCTTCAAAATTGTATTGCTGGTAATATTTTATTTTCAAAAAAGTATTGCTGGTTATAGTTAACTATTTCCACGCTCCTCAAAACCTCCTGATCAGAGGCATTGCTGCTGATCGTAGTTTATCGCCTTACCCAGGAGGCGGATGTAGTTTAACGTCATACCTAGACTTCCTTCTGGATCTTTCCAGGTTATCACTGTAGGCTTCTTTGAAGTACCCAAATAAAAGCCGTACCACAAAACTCTTCGATTACCATTTGCTGTTAGTTCCCGATTTGTGTTTAAATCCCGCTGTGGGAAGGAAAGAAACGCTCCCCCAAATCTATGGAATGTCCGTCTGAAAATAAACAGACCTTCGCAACGCACGCTACCACTTCAGCTGTTCCCGTAAACGATCTCCATTGATGAATACGCATCAATTTTAAATAAACGATAATACAGGGTGTCCATAAAGTTCGTGTGCACTTTAACAAATTTATAACTTCATTCGTATTTGCGATAGAAATAATCTGTAAAAAATGTTATAAAGTTTAATGTACCTAGTTTTAAGTATAGCTAAAATAACTAACGTGATTTCAGGCATTACTGTAAATCAGTTGGCAAATGTTTTCCATGAACTGCAAAATCGTATGGTATTGCTAATGATGAAGGACATGTGGAAATGTAAATAAATTTCAATGAAACATTTAAAAAATATAGATTTACTTCTTTCTAATCCTTTTTACTAATTATTTCTATCGTAAATACAAATAAAGTTATAAATGTTTTTAAAGTGCACACGAACTTTATGGACACCCTGTATATACATGACCTTGACCTCTGATAATTGTTTCGTGGCGATGTCCTTGGGGAAGGCATCCCCAGCTTTCGCCCAGCTACGTACAAAAAATAAAATTTATTTCTACTTTGATGATGGAAATCAGCATATCATCTATCTTCTTTAAATGAAACAATATTAATAAATATTAAATTTCGTTCCAACATTTTATGTAAATCAATTTTTTTTTCAGACATCAAATATGCAGTCAATAAAATTTTAAAATTAATTCCGTTATTTTTTTTTCAATACTGACATGCGCAATAGTGTCCAATATCGAATCAGATGGCAGTTATTTTGCTGATTTTTATTTTATGCAACATGGACTATAAAGTACGTTGAACCAATGATGAAAAGCAAAAATTCTTCAGAATTCTTCGTGATCATGAAATACAATTAGAAATCCATAAATTTCATCGTACGATCAAAAATATGCTACAAACGTAGAAACATGCACAGGAAGAAAAGAGTAAAATAAAATAAGAGAAGGACAAACATACCCACGCCACATATATACATATATATATATATATATATATATATAGAGAGAGAGAGAGAGAGAGAGAGAGACAGACAGAGAGAGAGAGAGAGAAATGTTTCGTCGGTCTGGCAAAAAAGTGATCAATGCCACAAGGAACGACGAGTCCATGGTCGTATATACTAATGTTTTCAGACAAAAAAAAACTGCTTAATTTATATTTATATCGGGTGTAACAGCAAAATTGTCCAAATCCAGTCACAGAATAATTATCCATCCTGCAAAATATTTAATATCTAAAAAAAAAAAAAAATAACACTAAACTAATTTAGTCTCTTTCTTCCAGATTTTCGTATCAGACATTTAGCCATCTTGACACCATTTGTCGTAAGAATCACTAAGAAACGTTTTGAATTATTTAGCTAGATAGAGAACGGGTTAAAATCGTTTTGTGGCTGACCCACTGCCTTCCTAACTGAGCAATGATGAGAGGAAAACGATCATTCAGTTATGGTACCAACATTCATACTCTGTCTTCCATTTTCAAAGTCTATTCAAGAAACGTCAAGAGAATAAGTTTAAATAAGAAGAAACAGTAGAGAGGAAAACCGCACCAGGAGGTTACAACAACTAAAGAGATCAATTAGAAAAGATCCAACTCAGTTCATAAGACGTTTGGTACGTGAAAGAGGAATTTCAGCTATGACAATCCAAAGAACAATGAAAAACACTTGAAAATGAAATCGTACGTGAAACCTCTGAAGCACCTTGTTACACCAGGGCAGAAACTTAGAAAGTTAGAGATATGATTAATTAATGAACATGTCGTTTTCGCTTATGATCGATTTCGTCACGATTCTTTTGTTAAGCTTGGAAAGTAATTATACATTCTTATTGCTCAAAGTATAGTCCAATAGTGCTATAAAAATTTCGGTGAATTCCAGTAAGATATATTTAATCATTTCTAAGATAAAACGAAGATTTTTTTCTGTTACACGATTTGGATAATTTTGCTGTTTCATCCGGTATATGGAATGCTTAAGCTTTCTTATTCAAGTACATGTCACTACCCTATGCGCACGTAACTTCCGGTTTGCTATAAATAATTTTTCAGTTTCTTTCTTAGAGAGAAATAATTGGTTAAAATTTCTGCCCTTAAAATGTTGAAGTCCTATTCTCTGTCGATACGCTTCTTTGAAATCAAAATACACAAAGACGTACACATTAAAAGGTATTTACTAAGACAGAAGTATTGATAGATTTAGGGTAATATATGTGAAAGGCAACATAGTTCTGGTGACTACATTAATTCTACCCAGTTCGATCTGGGCTAATGTCGAACAAATAAGATGTCATCTGGCCCATTACGATGTTTTCACAGATGTCAATACTGTCGATAACTTGTCCGTCAAAGAGGGGCCACCCGATGAAGAAGATGGAAGATTTTAGCTCGGGAAACTAGTATAAAATCGTTTCTGTTTAAATCCGAGTAGCGAATACGGTGAAAGGAAATAAAATGGACGTGAGGAGATGGAGAGTGTAGATAAAAGAAGGCGAGTTTAAAATCGGTAGAAGTGTGTCGACGTAGATGCCAACATACAATGAATGGAACGAAGAAATGAAAGGAGGAAAGAAGGAAAGAAATGAAGAAAAAGAGGAAGAAAAAGAAGGAAGGAGAAAAACAGAAAAATATGGTAGAAATAAGGAAAAAGGGAAGAGGAGATTGAGGAACGAATGGAAAATATCAAAAAATAACGGTAGCATGAGAGAAAGACAGAGAGAGAATGAAGACAGAAGAAAGAATAAAGTTGAGCAAAGAATGAAGAGAGTTGGAGAAAAGGAAGAAAGAAATAAACAATGAAAAGTATCAGGGAAGAAAGAAGAGCGAAATGAAAGATATAAAGAGAGTAAGGTAGTAGAAAAGGAAGAGGGTGAGTAAAGAATAATAGCAGGAAGGAATAAAGAATGAAATGTAGGGAGAAGAGAAAAAGAGAAAAATAGTAAGTATAAAGAGAGTAAGATCCATGGAATTGCAAAGAAAGAAAGAAAGAAAGAAAGAAAGAAAGAAAGAAAGAAAGAAAGAAAGAAAAGAAAGAAAGAAGGGTTGGGACGAAAGGAATGAAAAAAGAAAGAAAGAAAGAAAGAAAGAAAGAAAGAAAGAAAGAAAGAAAGAAAGAAAGAAAGAAAGAAAGGCCGTGACGAAAGGAATGAGAAAAAGAAAGAAAGAAAGAAAGAAAGAAAGAAAGAAAGAAAGAAAGAAAGAAAGAAAAGAAAGAAAGAAGGGTTGGGACGAAAGGAATGAAAAAGAGAAAAAGAAAGAAAGAAAGAAAGAAAGAAAGAAAGAAAGAAAGAAAGAAAGAAAGAAAGAAAGAAATAAAGGCCGTGACGAAAGGAATAAGAAAGAAAGAAAGAAAGAAAGAAAGAAAGAAAGAAAGAAGAGTTGGGACGAAAGGAATGAAAAAGAGAAAAAGAAAGAAAGAAAGAAAGAAAGAAAGAAAGAAAGAAAGAAAGAAAAGTTGGGACGAATGGAATGAAAAAGAGAAAAAGAAAGAAAGAAAGAAAGACAGAAAGAAAGGCCGTGACGAAAGGAATGAAAAAGGGAAACAGAAAGAAAGAAAGAAAGAAAGAAAGAAGAGTTGGGACGAAAGGAATGAAAAAGAGAAAAAGAAAGAAAGAAAGAAAGACAGAAAGAAAGGCCGTGACGAAAGGAATGAAAAAGGGAAACAGAAAGAAAGAAAGAAAGAAAGAAAGAAAGAAGAGTTGGGACGAAAGCAATGAAAAAGAGGAACAGAAAGAAAAAGAAAAAGAAATAAATAGAAGAAATAAAGGAAAGAAAGAAGAAGGAAGGAAGGAAGGAAGGAAGGAAGGAAGGAAGGAAGGAAGAAGGAAGGAAGGAAGGAAAAATAATGATTTTCGTTTGAATCCTTTCGTCCTTTACGACGTCCTCGAACTAAAAAAAAATAAAAATAAAAATTCCCAGCATCCCTCGTTCTTGCGCATGTGTAGTCCCATCAATGTAACAAATGTATGTAGTCATATGTCGTCCTCAAAACGAAACGAATCACGCGAAAAATTTTCCCCCACTTTGTCACACTTTCCCCTCCCGAGTATATATATATATATATATATATATATATATATATATATATATATATATATATATGTGTGTGTGTGTGTGTGTGTGTGTGTATGTGTGTGTGTGTGAATAGATAAATAGATATTAGATAGATGTGAATAGATGTGCATACATACGTAATACCCTTGACTTCCTACCACACACATCTGCTACAGTGTCTCGTCAGTCCCTGTCGCAGACACCTGCTCACGCACATTTGCGATTCTTCGTTACCCACAGAGCCCACCTGTGCTTTATATGGCAACTGTGCTGCCTGGACAAACGCCAATACTCCCATGCATCAAAAAGTTACCTTCTAGAGAAATCGATCAAGTTGAGATTCGAACACGGGCCCCAAGGTCTGTAAGCGAACGTTTCAACTAATCAGCTATAATATATATGAATAGACTGAGATTGATGTGAATAGAAAGAAAGAAACAAACAAACAAACAAGCAAACACACAAAGGAGTTGGCGAAAAAAAAAAACGTTAAGAAAGAAAGAAAGAAAGAAAGTTTATTGCTTGGTTGATTTTGTTTAGCAGCATATCAACACCTCTATGGGTTATTTAATGCTGAAATGTAAATATTTTGAACACACATTTATGGCTTCAACTAAATATATTTTGATCGCAATTGTATACCTTCAGCTACAGATAAAATGTATTGTTGGCCATATTTTTATATATATTAAAATATATTGCTGTTATTTTTACTATAAAAAATGTATGTTTATACATTCTTAATGTCTTGTTTTGGTTTGGGGCTTCATTATTTGTCCATAGTTGAGACCCTAACAGGTCTTCACACCCCGTGTCAGGGTGAACCTGGGAACACCAGCAATTAAGAGTTGGTTCCACACTCTTCAAACACCATAACAGCCCCACCCAACCCCGATCACAGACCTTGTTGCCGGATGTAGTTCATCGTCATAACTAGGACAAAAAGAGAAAAACAAAGAGTAGGAAGGAAGGAAGGAAGGAACATTAATAGGAAAAAGGTGAATTAAAGTAAAGCATAAAAGGGGTCCGTGTTCGTACAGGAAGACAAAAAGAAACATACAAAGAGTGAGAAGGAAGGAAGGAAGGAAGGAAGGAAGGAAGGAAGGAAGAGGAGGAGGAGGAAGGAAGGAAGGAAGGAAGAAGGAAGGAAGGAAGGAAGGAAGGAAGGAAGAGGTGGAGGAAGGAAGGAAGGAAGGAAGGAAGGAAGGAAGGAAGGATGAAAAACATTAATAGGAAAAAGGTGAATTAAAGTAAAGCATAAAAGGGGTCCGTGTTCGGGCAGGAAGACAAAAAGAAACATACAAAGAGTGAGAAGGAAGGAAGGAAGGAAGGAAGGAAGGAAGGAAGGAAGGAAGGAAGGAAGAGGAGGAGGAGGAAGGAATGGAAGAAGGAAGGAAGGAAGGAAGGAAGGAAGGAAGGAAGGAAGGAAGGAAGAGGAGGAGGAGGAAGGAATGGAAGAAGGAAGGAAGGAAGGAACATTAAGATGAAAAAGGTGAATTAAAGTAAAGCATGAAAGAGTTTCGTGTGCGGGGAGGGGGGAGCAGTGCATTTGACGATTGTGTTGGTCACGTGCCCTGTTAAGAATTTAGGACTGAATAATACCTTCGAGAAGAATGGCAACGCTGTTCATGAGATAAACGTCGCAGATAAGGAATCCAAGACAAAGGAACGATTGTCGACAAGATGGTGACGAAGTCTATTGTGAATGCGGATACCCGAGTATTTTGCTTATGGTACCAAGCGAGGCTGAATGGAAGTAAGCTGTAAATGAAGTTTAGGTAAAGGAATTGAAAAAGCCATAAAGGGGGGGTCTTATGAAAGAGGATGTCGGGAAGAGATACGATCGTGTGGTTTTGGGATTAATTTGGTAAAGGAATTACAAGGGCAGTGTTGAATGCTGGAGATTGTCACGAACGCATAGATATCGAAATCATGGCAAGGATTTACTGGAATCGTTAAAGCAGAAAATAAAAGGGAATGGGTGAATGGCATTGGGTCAGGCAAAAAAAAGGAAGGAAACTAGTAAACAGAAACGAAAGAAAGGAAACAAGGAATAAAAACAAAGGAAAGTATAAAAAAAGAAAGAAAAGTTAAAAAAGGCAGAGAAAAAATACAAAAGGCAGCAAAAGAAAATCAAAGAAAGAAAACGAAGAAAAGAAAAAAGAAAGGAAGGAAAAAATTGAACGAAAGGACAGAAAGATAAAAAGGAAAAGAAAGACAAAAGTACAAAGATATATATAAAAAAAGAAAAAATGAAAGGAAAAATAACTGCATATTGCTAAAAAATAAAAGAACATATATATCAATAAGAAAGAAAGAAAAAAAGAAAGAAAGAAAGAAAGAAAGAAAGAACATACTGGCAAGAAAAAAATAACATACATATCGATAAGAAAGAAAGAAAGAAAGAAAGAAACAAACAAACAAACAAACAAACAAACAAAGGACACATTATGAGGAAAAACGAACATAGATATCAATAAGAAAAAAAGTACGAAGGAAGGAAAGGAAGGAAAGGAAGGAAAGAAAGGGCACATTAAGAAAGAAATAAAAAGAAAGAAAGGACACATTAAGAAAGAAATGAAAAGAAAGAAAGAAAGAAAGGACACGTTAAGAAAGAAATGAAAAGAAAGAAAGGACATATTAAGAAAGGAAAAAGAAATAAAGAAAGAAAGAATGAAAGAAAGGACACATTAAGAAAGAAAGAAAGAAAGAAAGAAAGAAAGAACGCATTATAAGGAAAAGCATACATATCGATAACAAAGAAAAAGAAAGAATGAAAGAAAAAAAACGAAACAATGATAGAAAGAACGCATTATTGATAAGAAAAACAAAAAAAAAAAAAAACAATATATATATATATATATATATATATATATATATAAATATATATATATATATATATATATATATATCTATAAGAAACCAAAAAGAAAAGATGAAATAATGTAGGAAAACTTGAGGAAAAGAAAAATGATCGGGAATCAATTCTAAAGCCAATAAGTCAATCAATGTGCGAACGGCTGAAGCAATCAATGAATCGATCAGATTGATCAGTGATCGGCAGTCGCCTTAAAATATCTCCGTTTCTTTCCCCCCGCCTCTCCTCGTGACTTCTTTCTGTCTCTTGCTTTTACCATTCGATCACTCTTTACCCTCCAACCCGCCCCAGTCCAATACCGCCACATAATCGAACTCTAACCGCAGCTCTAATCTAAACCTCAACCTCATCCTTAAAGATTCCAGTCCTCCAGGGCCCCCGACCTTATTCCCTGACTTTAACTCCAACCGCTTCACATGACCACACACACACACACATTGGCCCTACATGTCTGCCAAACACGCAACAGCTAATAACAGCAACAAACAATACAAGTGAACGAATTTCTTTTTTTCTTTTATTTCATTTATTTTCGTTTTTTTTTTTTTACTGCTTTTAGTTTTATTCATATTTTTCTTTCTATTTACGTTCTAAGTAGAAGCTTCTCCCAACCACAGATCAGTTCATAGATAAATATATCGATGCCTGTCTGTTAAAATTGATCCGTCTATCAGTCAGACGGCTTCGTCAGTCGTCCAGGCGGCCCAGAAGCGGACAAGGGCAGTTAGTCAGTCAATAAAACCCAGCAACCTCGCCCACCTAGCTTCGTTATCGTACTTCGCCCGTCTTTTCTCCACTTCCCGCCAAAAACAGGTCGCCATTACCCTTTCATATCCACCGTCACCGACTAATCTTCCTTCATCAAACTTACTCTTCCTTCTCCTCGAACTATTGCAGTAATTCTGTCGGCAAGCAGCAGCGTTTCCTTCCTTGTTTCACTAGCATCAGGGGAGGAAAACTCGTAGCAGACCTGATGGACGACATTTTAAACGATTTGATGTGTTATTTGCCAAGACTTTATTTTGCGTAGTCAACGGCTCTGTTGGACAGTTAGTCGATGTAGATAGATGAATCGGCAGTGAAGATTGAAGTATATGTAATAATGGCATTCGCCGAAAGAGTCTGAAGTATGCTGGGAGATAGGAAGAAAAATATCAAAGCAGAAAGATTCTTTGTACTTAAGCTGCAGTTACGAACAAAGTTGAAGTGATTACTTTTTATTTATTTTTTTAGTTGCTTTATTCGTACGGGTTTCGATGTTCTCTTTAATGCAAATACAGTTCAGTCTCGGTTCTCGAACGTCTCGCATGTCTAACAAATCGGTTTGCGAACAGAATATTGAAGATGAAAATTCCTCGATTATGAAAACAAAATTTCGTTTTCCGAATATTGCCGAACCGAACGGAATCATTTCTTAATCGACCGCCATGTTGTATATATTCGTGTGTTATGCTGTGCTTTTCTTTTCCAATTTTATGGTATTGTGCCTATATTTTTCTCTTCATTAGTCCTCAATCATGGCTCTAAAGAAAGCTAGCAGTGATACTAGTAAAGGAAAAAGAAAAATTAAGAGTAAAACAATTGTTGATGATATTGTCTCTATGATATTGTCTCTTCCTATCCAGTTTCATATGGCAAAATCAACGATCTATATACTCGTCTTATAAATAAAGAGACGATCATGTCTTTCCTTTTCCTTCTCCAAACAATAACATCTCTTTCTTTCCCCTTTCAACTTACGCCATCAACTCTCTTACATGAAGGTACGGTAAAATTGAAGTGTTCGTCTATATTTTATCTATTTAGTATTGGGTTTATTTATCTCTTTCTTAGATTTAATGATTTTCATTAGTTTTGTGTATAAACTTGTGCACAAATTACTGTTGTAAAAGATTAAATAAGCAATCATCTTGGGACCAGGAACGGATTAATCCATTTTACATTGATTTCTATTAGAAAAATATTTTCGGTTCACGAACATTTCGGGTTACGAACGGGCTTCAGGAACGAATTAATTTCGTGAACCGAGGTTCCACTGTACTGGCATCATTTGTTTTATGCTATGATTTGGAATCCTTCAGAATCTTTCAGGATAACAGTTGCAATTGAAACCAGATGTCTTGAAAAGTATGGTTAAGGAACATTAGGTTCTTATATTTTATTCTATAACTAAAACTAGTAATGCTAGCCCGTGATGATCTCACACGGTTTGCCTATTTTAAATTTCTGATGAATCTTAATTCTTCAGTTACTGATTGAATAAGCTCATGGCGAGTTCTACGTCATTAAGATATCTCTTTAAAATTCCTCTATCGCATTGTTGAATATTTGAGCTCAACAACTTCAACAAAATATTGCAATAACAATCATAAATATGAAGGCTGGTCGATATTTTAAGAAGTAAGGGGATACAAATGAACAAATTTAAAATTGACAACTTTTTTCCGTTTCATTGCAACAGATGTTAAAGAGTTCTATCTTCTCTTCTTTCATTCATTTTCTGACTGAAACCATCTTTCTGAAGTCTTGTCTTTCACGTATTTTGTCTTCTCACGCGATCAAAACGGAATAGTCCATTACTTATGAGATATTAGTTGGAAATCTTAAGCACTTCTTGTTTTGTTTCTTTCGAAAGTGGATGAAAGTTTTAATAAATACAAGGACAGCAAAAATCGACCTGAAACATCCAGATGTAAGTAGAAATTGCGATAGAAAACCGACCAAAGATTATTCAAATAAAATCAACACGGATACCGAAAAATGTTCAAATCTGACGGCCACATGACATTGTAACAACGGTTCCAGTAGGATCCCCGAAATTAAGTAACGTCGAGTTTAGTCAATATCTATAGGGGTGACTGGTTGGGAATACCACATGCTGTAAGCTTGGATGTGCAGATGGTGCAGTGGGTAATGGCTCAAAATTGTTAATCGGAGAGCCGAGTTTCAATTCGATTCGTTATATTCACTTACGAGCAAATACCATTGGGACAGCTATAAATCCACCTCTTCTCCCCCAGGTATGGGTTATTTCGTATGGCTTTTGAGTCATTTATTAGAAATGAACCTCCTATTTGCAAGATTTCTTTCCGCTATTAGCGTAATGATTAGGATTTATTTCGTGACTTTATTCGAGACTCCCTAAGATTGATATTCTTAAAGTTCCTATTGAGTATTTTGCCACATTTCTTTTTTAAGTCTTTCTTCACTTCTCTTTGGACTGTCTTAGCTGAAACTCCAATCACGTGCCAAACGATTTATGGATTGAGTGAAATCTTTTCTAATAGATATCTTTAACTGAAATGATGCCCCCCCCTATCCCCGAAGCCAGTTGCGATCTCCTGATCCAGTTTTCTTAATCTGGAAACCTGGGAACAGTCATAGATACTGTTTACATCATAGTCAAAATATTAGATATCGATCCTGTTTACTCTAGAAACCAATTGCTAAATTCAATCCTATTTACACAAATCAAAATGGTCGTCATATATCCTGTTTATAACCTAGTCAAAATATCAGACATTGATCCGGTTTACACTAGAATCTAATTGATAAACTCAAATCCTATTTACAGCAAATCAAAATGGTCGTCATATATCCTGTTTATACCCTAGTCAAAATATCAGACATTGATCCGCTAGAATTAAAATGGTATATGTATGCCCAATTTA